GCCATTACAACTCAAGGTGAGAAGCATGTATTTTTAAGTTGTAGATACTTCAGGGGCTGTTATAAGCAAAATTGGTTTTATCATTGAAATAAGTATTCTTGCAGAGATTGTCATTTGGAAGTTCTCCTTCCAAAGGTAAATGACTGAAAATTTATATCACACGACAGATATTTCAACAAGAGGAAAGCCCAAGTTATAATACTAATTATTCTGAGGTAAAGAACTGGAAATTTGTGCCCACTGGAAATTAAAAATCTACTTTAATTTAAAAAAACAAATCTAGAAGATTGTTATGTCAAGACATAGAACCAGAGTTCAGATTTGCACTGAACTCTTGCTTAGCTAAAATTCAGGTGAAACTCCTTTGTATTTCAAGAGGTAAATGGCATTGTTTTATGAATAGCAGAACAATGGGATGAAGGTAAATACAATTTCATGCTGCAGTTTGAATGGAGGGACACTTTACATTCATTTTGTTAATTTGTCCTTTTTGGTCCTGGTTGTAGAAATGTTCTTTTTTTCCCAGAACACGATCTCTCATTGCCAATCCATATAATTATTTATTTTCCCAGGAATGAAGTTTATAGGAGCACCAAAAATTGATTTAGATGTTACAAAGACATTTCAGGTACATCCTGTAGCAGCTGTAAAACATTGGTCTGAATTTGGCTGTAAATTTCATTGACATTTTTGCAAGTAAGGCTGCGTGGAATAATCCACTCGTTGACATTCCAGTATCTCAAGGAATTTAGAAATAGTAGTCACCATAATTTAATGGGAAAAAATACTCTATCTCTTGATCGTGGCATCATGAAGGGAGCTGTAATGTGGAAGAATACAACTTTTATGTTATTTTGATTAAAGCGATTTTTATAGTATATTAATTAGGCAGTTTGTGATTAGTACATTAATACCAATTACAATATATGCATTGCCAATGGACTTACAAAAGTTACAAAAGACAAAACATTCTATGTTCTGTTCTATAATTTTTTAATATATAATATTGTAAAATATTTCATGTATATAATTTTCTTGTATTTTTCTCTAGACTTTGGCAAAGCAGAATCTGGCTGATTTTAAGTATAATACTTTAAAGACATTAAATTATGAGATCCTGACTGGTACCTGCCTATCCATGTTTTCCTGTTATTCCATTGTTTATTATTTTTCCACGTTTGATTCACAGTTTTGTTCATAGAATTGAACATAATTCTTGTTTTAAACTACACTTTTGTTATGAAAAGGCATACCAGGATTCTTGATGTTACTAGAACCTTAATTTTACTGTTAAAACATCATCTTCTTTTCATGATTTGTGTTGTGTATATAGACACTCTGACCTCCTCTTGCCATAGCAACCACATCTTTCGTTTTTACTAAAAGAAAAGGAAAAACTGCTTGAAATGATAAAGTTTAATTATTAATTTTAGGAAAGTTTTCCTTTGATTTACCGTTGTTATGTCCTTCAGAAGGGAAACTGTTGATTACAAAATCTCTCGCTGTTAACAAATTATCTGTTACAATGAGGCTCTTAAGCAATATTGGGAGAGGGAAGACAGAAATTAAAGCCTCATTCTAAAAAAGCGTTCATGGGTACAAAAGATGAATTACAATCTTATTTATCCTCTAAGTTGCAGTTACCCACCTTGGAGTATGCGAATTGTTGAGAGTTTTTATAGATGTTTAGGTTATTCTGGCCTTGGCTCTTGCTGCAGAATTTTTATAAATGGCACATCTGAAGAAGGTTAATTCAATAATCTAATATCTGAAATATCTGAAGATTATTTCAAGTTTTTTTGGTAGTGCAGAACCACCTAGACCTCAGCATCTACATTTTGAGTACTATGAGCTTATCCTTCACCTCACCAACAATTTATCTCTGTCTCTGTTGTACCCCTGGATATCCCTCATCTCTCTTGTGTCACCTTTGGGCCTCTTGCAGTTCCATCAGCTGTTTCCTTCTTTTCTTGGCCCCCATAATGATGTTTTTCCTTGATAAATCCAAAGCCCTTTGCTGGTAGATGTAATCTTTAGACTGGCTTGAACCAGAGTGGTGAAGGGTGACTGCATTCCAGCAACACCTCATTTCCCCTTCCACTTCTTTGCCATGGATGTTATGTCTTCAGGCAGCACTACATGTATTTTCCCTTTGCTCTTGCTGTTAATAATGGCTAATATTTAATATTTCATGCAATAATGGTCTGAAATGGGTCTAGTTCTGCTCTGGAGTGATCACTTTTTGCCTTGCACTCACTCCCAGATAGACTTAGAAAGCAAATTTCTTCTCCTGTGTCGATTTAGATTGGCTGCTACTACCAATAACACGTGGAATTACTCCATGTGTGTGAAATAACCAACTTCATCCTCACATTGCATCTCTCTTTTTAGAGATGGGAATATCCATGTCATTTGGAGCATCAAAATAGCAAATCTGACAGATTAATAAAATACCAAATTAGGGAAATCTGCCGCAGTCTCTCAGTTTTTGCTCTGATCATCTTCCTAGTTTGTGGGGTGAAATCAGGACTGAGATTCAGTGCTGAAAACTCTCCTCAAAAAAAAAAAGAAAAAAGCTAATTACTGGCAGTAGGAATCTTTTACTGTCTAACATTTTTATATTTCTTTTGGCTGGAGTCCTACGCTCTCTTTTATGACTTGAAGTTAAATCAGTGTATACAGTAGGATCCTACCATAGTTCCATATATATATATATATATATATAGGTTATTATGTTTTCCTAGTTCCTTATGTCATATATAAGAAGTGCATTCTTACGTAAAAGGAGGTTACATTGTTAAAAATGTATTGGAAGCTGCTGACTATTCCATGTTTTTTGGATATATATTGGATGAATGATCAGGCTTCTGTTTTATGTGACACTGAATTATCAGATTGACTATGTGTGTTGATATACAGAGGTTTTAAACATTTTTAAGAACTAGATCAACGTATTTTTCATTAATTATGCCCCATAACATATTTTTATGAAAATAAACAATAAATCCCTAAAAAATTACTGTTTATTAATATTTTATATATATATTGTTTATTTTATTAACACAGTTAAAGAACATGTGGTTTCTTCATTTTTGCTTGCATTTAAGTGTAGAGTTGAAATATTTTCTGCTTTTCTTAACAATATCTAGGGGCGTTAGGGAAACAAACAAAAAAAAAGTCTTGCTAAAATTTTTTTATTCAGCTTAATATTCAGTGTAGAGTTGTTGGAGTACCCTCCCCCATTATCCCATAACTCCCTGGGTAGTTATAGGTTTCCTCATATATGTCAGGAAAGTGTTTCAGAAATTACATTTGGGACCTATCCAGGTGTAGGATTTTTCCTTATTGGATGTTTCCTGGGACTTCTTATTGAGAGTGGTGTGTAAATGTGCATTTCATGAAATCTGTCTCTTGGAATACACTACATTAAAAGGCTTAAAATTGACATATTTATAAACATTTTGCCGTCAAATATTCATGTTAATAGATGTCCGTGCTCTGTAAGTAACACACCAAATTGTTTAGGATTACATTGATGAAAGAAACCTGGGAAACATTTACTTTCAAATGCATCTTTAGAGATTCTGGTGTCTCAAACCAAATTTCTTACTGCCTTTTTAATATTACCATAACAGTTTTTTACTCTTTTTGTTGGGCTACCACTGATTTGATTTTCGTCTTGCTCTGGAATAGTGCAAATCAAGTTCAGACTCAATGCCACTGAGTCACAGCAGTTCCACTGTTGCCGAGTTCAATCACAGTCAGGCAGGGACCAGGATTTTAAAGCCTGGTGTATTTTAACATTGCAAAAAGTGCTGGTGTTGGAGATTATCAAAGTAGCTCTGATCAGGTTAATTACCCCTCCTGTACTGAAATACCCTGCAGAGACATTATTCCAGGTCTTGGAAACCATGTGCACATGTTAGCAAAGATGTGCTTGGGCTCATTAGCCTTGATTTTCAGCAGGGGCAGTTTGGGCTTAGCTGGCACTCAGCAAATGGAACTGGGCTGCCTCAGCTTCCACGAGCTCAGGGACCTCTCTACCCAACACTATGTTTTGTATAGATGTGCTCTGAGGACCTACTAATATGTTTTTGTTGATGATATCACCTTTTATCAATATTAATGTATAGTATCTTTTTAATAGTGCATATATATTCTTCTAGTATATAGTAAACATACAGTGGTTTGTAGGAACTTCTGTAATATTAATTTAAAAATAATACCTAGCAAGTATTTAGAGTCCTTTCATTACCACAAGTCACCTCCAATTGCTTATCAGTAAAAACATGCCTTGTTGTTCTGCAGGCTTTTGTCACAATCCTTGTTGAGTCCTAGAATTAATATCAAGATAATTAGAACTACAGGATAAAGCTTTTTCTCCTGTTGGTAAATCCTTCTCCTCCATCTTGTCATGATCTTCTATTGAGAAAAATCATTGAAATGTTTCAAAAGGCATCTACCTCGTGTATCTCACCTGTGGGAGGTTCATGTGTTTGCTGTGTGCTCAAACCCTTAAATCATATTACTCCACATTGCCAATCTCTGGAGCTGCCCACTTAATAAAATAGCATGTTTCCTTAGAAGGTGGGAAAAATATGGAATATCAGAATATGTATTATTAAAATCCATTTCAACGTGAATTCAGTTTTACAATGAGTTCAATGCTTCGGCTTCATTTGAACAGGCAAGACAACATTTTTTGGTTGTGGTATAACCAAGCATTTATCCTTGAGAAAACTGAAAACGGAAAGAATTGTGTGAGGGCCAAGGAAACTTGTGACAAAAACAAATTTGGGAAGAGGTTACAAAAGCAGACCAGGGAGAGTCACATTTAAAGGTTATTCTTGTGCCCATTTTGGGGGTTACCAGCATTGGAGTTATTGCACATTGGCTTTTACCAACATGATGTTCAGTTATTATTGAATGTGTTATGTATCTAATCTTGTATTTATGGGAGAAGGTAAAGTTTAATGCTCCCTGTGTCTCTCTCTGTTTAGTTCTAAGCATTGGAGAAGGTGGATTCTGGGAAGGCAGCACCCGGGGACATATTGGCTGGTTTCCTGCAGAATGTGTTGAAGAAGTTCAGTGCAAACCCAATGAAAGCAAAGCAGGTAATCAGATCAAGTTCCTGTTGACTCCTGACATGACAAATGCCATGTGTCTGTCTCAGCACTGTGTTGTACAGCAGAGTGTTTATGAAATACTGGTAGTAGGAGAGTTAAATAAAGCTGAGCTGCTGAATTGAAAATTAAGGTGGATTTATTAAGCAGATTTTACTGTCCAAGCAATCAGACTTTCTTCTGAGTGACTACATTGGGTAGCACTGCAAAAGCTTTTACACAGAACTGAGCGTAGACATTTTGTAAAGGATTTTGCTGTATATCATTTTCCTAAAATATGGGAGGGTGGCTAATTAGGCAATTAAATAATGGAAGAAAAACTGGCCACTCATCTCCCAACGTGAGATACTCATACAATGCATTTAGCTATTCATAGCAATAAAGATCCTTTTGTTTGCCTTTTCCTAAATTTTAGAGGAGGCATCCATTAGAGGGATGTCTTATATACATCCTTACTGATGACAAAGGAAATAGAATCAAAAATAGAATCCTCTTTCTCACACATGTGTGTTGCCACAAGTGACTTTAAGCAAGGAGTCTTTATAGTTCTGGTATAATAAAAGAAAAAGAAATCTACATTAAAGCATGTTATTTTAAGAATTACCTCCCATCTCATCATTTCTTTGCTTCTAAGAATTAAGATGTGAGGACATTCTCTCTAATTAAAAGCTCATTATAAATGAGCTCTGAGAATATAATTAACGTTCTCTGGGAGTGGATGCAGTTTTAAATCAACTGTTGATGTGCTTTAGATCTCTGTTGTATTGATTAAGAACTTTTGGCATTGCACAGATGATACACTGAAATTTATGCATCATATCATTCATTCGCAAATGGGGCTTTTTAATGCATGTCATTATAAACCACAAGGTATAATTTTCTTTATGTATATATCTATAGCGACTGTATAAATGTGAGAGTATGGAACAGAATGCACTGGGCAAGGTTCCAGAGTAGTAAGGATTAGGAAATATTTGTAATATTTGAGAGGTATTTTAATTTCATTGTTTTTAGTGGAAGCTGTGGTAAGATGGAATATGAATTTGAGGGATGAGCAGAAGAGGAGGCAAAAAGTTAGCTTTTGGAATATGAAAACTTGAAAAGAATGAATGAGCAAGACATTAGGGACATTGCTCTAGATAACTAAACACTGTGTGACAAGGTTATGCTTTCTTTTCTATTTCCCTTTTGAGAGAGGAAAAGAGGAGGAGGCAAAACCAGATGTAATATTTGGAGAGAATGGAGTTAGACTCTGAGTACAGAGGGAGAACAGTTGTGTAGCTCTTCTAAGGGTTTGAGAACATAAAATTTAAAGATGGAGGTATGTTAAACAGGAGGAGGATTGAGGTTGGAATTGGCCAGTTTAGGAGCAGTGCAGTTTTCAAAATAAGGTGTAAAAAGGGGACCACAATTTGCAATTTTAGTGTGATTTCATTAGTTGGAAGACCAGTGAATTCAGTCAGTGCAACATGAGCTGGTGAAGAGCCACCTGTGAATTGTTCTAAAGGTCCTTCAATAAAACCACTTGGTGGAAAGAATTCAGAAAGATGTGCTTTGTATGAGTAAGTCATCAAAAACACCTCTCTTGAGTCTGTCATGACAACTCTGCATTGAATTTGAGCTGTGCACGTCTCCAAGTCAGAAGAAAATTCTGGGGAGGGCATTAAGTGATGTTCTAAAATACGAAAGAAATTTTGCATCTTTTTAGTGGTTTTGAAGAGAATATAACCACACCTGTCACAAATCCTTAAAGATCTTTCTGAGAAATACTTCAGGAAGTAAATTCAGTCTGTGACAGAATTGCTTTAATATATGACACTATTTTATTTGAGCAAAAATTTCTCTGATCATTTGAAGGAGAATAAAAATTAAAAATTGTCACAAGAATAACAAAAGTATTACCAAAGTTGGAAGCAATAAAATAATATAAACAGAAGCATCTTACAAATTTTTGGAGGTGAAATTATGAAAACTTATGCCACATGTCTGGCAAAACACCAGAGTAATTTATAACTATTTCATACCTTCCGATTGTTTTCCTATTTGCTTATGGTACGGTGTGAATTATAATGGCTAAGGTGTGAATTATAATGGCATCTTTTTTTACCCTAAAAAAGATGAAAATATAATTAAATAGGCACAAAATGGACACTGTGAACTTGTGCACTCCCATATTTTGCTGGGCTCTCCCTGTCCTGCACCCAGAATGAGGTTCAGTGCTCCTCTGTGTAATGTGATAGAGGTTGGAGCTGGGATTATGAAATCTATGAAATGCACAGTATGTGCCATATTATTATTCAAATACGGCATGGAGTGAAAGCAGCTGATGACAGGATTGCTCTGTGCAGTTTGCTGCATCCCCTTTGCATAGGAAACAATGGGAATGAAAGAGGAAAGCTTCACAAGCAAAAATCAGCCAGTACTCCCTCTGAGTACAAATGCAAAAGTAATTTAGAAAAATATGTTAAGCATGGGGAAATGATTAGAAATTAAATTAGGTCTACTGGGATGGCTGAAAGAGCATCAGCTGAGAAACATCACAAACTTGTGCCAGTTGCAAGAATTTGCATCGTGGGCTTTGCAAAGCAGCAGAACTTCTTATGGTAATGATTTCGAAAGTAGATCATTTCAATGTGGAGGAAATGAAGCTCAAACTCAGCCTTTTTCAGACCAGCTCCACAGTAACGGTTCTTTCCCATAAATGAGATTTAGGAACATTTCTTCCAGCAGCTTCCCTTTGCTATTAAGTTAGAACAATAGTGTTTAATAGCAGCTTGTCATGTGCATGCCATGAATGAAAGAGAGAGGAATAGTTCTTGGAAAAAAACAAACCACAATTAAACACTACATGCCCAGTAAAACTGGTGGGCAGGTGTTTCTTGTCATGCTGATGTATAGTCTCACTTATAAGAAAAGTTCAATTTTTAGGGAACTTTATTGCCATCCCGACTGTTGTCTGGAAGTGGGAAGTACAGAACAGCACCTGGTTCCTGTCCTCTCTTCCAAAGTACCATGCCAGCTTGGCAGGTTCTCTTTTCGAAAAAAAAAAGTCATATTGTCTGGCATTAATTCTATTTTCCTTCTTTAATCCTTCATTATTTGAGTCTTGTAGGATTTATTCTGTTATTTTGCTAGGATTGATGCCAGGCTTATGAGCTTCTAATTACCCAGGTTGTCTCATCTGCCCTTTAATAGCACTGGCACAGGACCTGCTGCCTTCCAGTTTGAAGAAGTTCCCTTGACATTTTGAGATCTAATGGAAAAAGAACAACGACAAAGAAAATTATTATCATGATCTGCTAAATTCTTTTGCCTGCTTTTAAAAAAATCCCGACACACAAAACCTTTGTACTATCTCATTTTGAAAAGTGTTTTTAACATTTTCCAGAATTATCTTTGAGTGAGAGTGTTCCTTCAGATGAGATTGGTACAAGATCTTGCTCTTTCCCTGGACAAACACAGAATACAAATGTTACTTATTTACTCTTTCTGCATTGACAGTTTTCCTGTGTTATTCAGTAATGAACCAATTTCATCCTTAAATGTCTTTGTATTCCTAAATATGTTAAGACATACTATTTGGGGTTTTTTTGCTAAAATGTTCTGCTAAAATTGAAAAAAAAGTTTCTCCGACCTAAATTTAAATGTTTCCCTTTACTTTTCTTCCATCAGAGGGTATTACTGCAACTTCAGAGACTTACTACAAAAATGTTCTCTGTTAGACTTGTGATTTTATGCTCCATGTCCTTCAGAATTCAGAGCTATAGATGATCTGATTGCTCATAACCGAGGTGAGGCATTCATTTTCAAGCAAAGAGTTATCTTTAACTGCAGTCTGACTTTATCATTTATTATTCCTTCCTCCCTAATGTGCCTGGAGAACTCTTAGATTTCACAAATGCTACCAAAATGAAGGCAGGCTCAATATGTCTGAGTAATTCTTGCTGTCTTTCAACTCTTGGCCTCCTCAGTGCACTTTTCGTTGAGTTCCAGCCTCATTTTTAATATTGTCCTAGGATGACTTTTCATTCCTTAGCCTCCTCTGTGCATTCTTCTACCCAGTGGCCTTGGGATACACCTTATTAGCAGTTGTAGTAGCTATGGGAGTCCTGGGAGTTTAGTTCAGACTAAATCTAATCCAGGCGTGTGGCTCCAATGACCATTAACAGTCGTTCAAGAACCCATTTTTCCATGTAAGAATCCAAGTCCAAACTCTGAGGTGTCTCAGTCCTGGGGGCTGCGGCAGAGATAGCACTTGCAGAGCACGTTCCTTGCCCAGCTTAAAATGCAAATGTAGATGCTCCCATGCTGACCTCTAGTGTCATTGGTGCTCCCAGCACACACTAAACTGGGATTTCTCTTTCAAAATGCCTCAGAATCATTTAGGTTGGAAAAGACCTCTGAGATCAAGGCCAACCTTTGACTGATCAGCACCTTGACCACTAGACCATAGTACTAAATACCACATCCTGTCCATTCTTGAACACAGTGTCTGTGCTTAAATGTTTGGTGTCACTTACTCCTGAGTTTCCAGCAACTTGAAAATATAATCACGGATTATCCAGTAATACCACAGTTCCCTTGGCCATTTCTTTTTACATATGTAGCTATACACAGCTGTTATAAGCAGAAATTGCAGCATTCCTTATCCAACATTCCCTCTAGATTCCAGGATTTACCAAACAAGCCCAAACTGTATAAATAAAATGCATCCTTTGCTACACAATTTCTGAAGTACAGAATTTTCTGTGTTCCGCAGTCTTAGTTTTTAACACCTTGTGCATTCAATAAAAACAGATTTGTTCCTCATTTCCACCATCCCCTTTTTATAATTAGCACAGCACCTTCCCAGGCAATCTAGTCAGCCAGGCTGCTAGAATATTGATTTGTGTTCCTGCAAGAAAGAAAGTTGCTTTACTGGGAATTTCGGAGCTGACATCTATACTGACAACTGGGAGCTGCTTTTTCCTCTGTGGACAAGGGGCTTGGCA